TTGGAAACCAGAAGATTGGAATATCTGCTCGCCTGTAAATAGCAAGGGGTGGTTCACTCGCCCAATATGTAGGATAATGATTCCATGTACAATGTCAATAGATTTGTGTCTGGAATAGCCATACATCAGACTACCCCAGTTTTATCAATTGTTTCTGGCTTTACAGACCTAAGGTTTTTGAAAGGAGATGAGACATTTATATTTACTACCCTATTTACTAGTCGGAGGACTTTAACATAACAGCATAAATACCTGAAATCTTCTTAATAAATTGGACATTATTGTAGCTTCCTGAGGGGTCTGATTCTGCCCTTGTTTTTCAAAAAAACACATAGAAGTCTAACACCATCTTACAGTTGTCAGTAATTTTAGTACCCATGGATTCTGTCATTTGTCTTGTGTTGACAACCCGACGATGTTTACCAGTTCCAATGTCAAGAAAAATGGTAAGATATTTTGAGTTGATCAACATGTTGAGTTTATGCTACAAAATAATTTTAAGCAGCAGGGAAAGGGTTTAAAATGAATTCCCACAAGGAATTTAATTATTTACCTTACCACCGGATGAATGAAACTGGCATGTCTTGCCATCCACTAACAAGAGTTCTGTTCCACATTGCTTAATACAAGATGCTGGTGCATTGCTGCTCGACACCATGTCACTTGGTTTACTTGTTGCTGGCCCTTGTATCAGATACAGCTGAGAGGATCCTTGGCATAACCTATCTCGATCATTGATAGAATAAGCATGATAAGAATGAGTGGAGAAGATAACATTTTTCTTGGCCACCGTCTGATCGAACTCTTGCTCAAAACGTAGATGATTATGCATCGGGTAGTGAAAAAGTGCATTACCATCTTGGATATGTAGGGCACCTATTTGATAAGGCATATCCTCCTGACAATCATCCATGAAGAAATATAGTAGTGCAGCTTTGTTGGTCCCATTGAAGAAGCCATTAGCTGTGTCAAGGCTATAGTTTTTCGGAAGAGCCATTCATAAACTATTATTGAACGAATGCTTTCACAGATTATAGTACATCAAATTTTATATCAGAAGAAGCAAGAGCAAACTGTAAACTGTAGAGATGATCCTTGTTGGTCAATAAGAAAAGATTGGTGAAGTTACAAATAGCAGCAATGGTATGTTGTACTCCATCTTCAAACTTCCCGAATTCTGCTTTCTCTAACTCACAGTGCTTTCCAGCCTTTTGGCATTCCGGGTCTCTCATAAGGCCACACATCTGTTCAAAGTACTGAGCTCTTATTGAGCGACACGGTCATTAGTAAGCACCAAACTTTGAAAAGATACTGATGAATCCACCTGCGATATAATGGAAGCAGAGATATACAAACTGAATTAGACACCTCCATTGAAACACTACTATTTTAAAAGTAATTTTGCAGTATTTACAAAAAAAAATTCTTTAGACTTTGTGAACTCCGTAAAGGCATTTCCAACTGCACTGAACCTGGGGTCAGAGAACGTGCTACTGCTATGCCACCTATTCTCAACTTTAACCCCAGGATGAGATCTTTTGATGTTTGTAAGGAAAGTATCCAACCATACTAGATACCTGTATCTAAACAAATGTGTGATTTTTATTTTTAACATAAAATTGATATTGAAACAAATGGAGTAGTTCTGTCCATCATATTCGAAGAAAAGATCTGCCATATCTGTCATTTGTGGAAGAGATTTATTTGCATACAGCAACATTAGGATAAGATGTGTATGACCAATGACACTGAATTAGAAAGTGGCTGTTTTCTGAAGGCAGTCAGTATGGACCTTGTCTTCCTAAATCTGGTACTTGTCCAAAATGATGGAAATAGATGGATCATGCAAGGCAAGATCTAGAGAATCATGACTACAGTTCTGAGTAGCATTTAGCAGGGACAAAGTGTTACTGACGTCTGCCTTCTCCTCTTCACAATTGCTATTTAAAAGTCCAGCCTCGACAAAGATTTCACAGTAGCCTGCATTTATGCATTTATGATCCGTACTCTTGGATGCACTCAGAGTACACCTTTTTGTTTTTGATGGGTGAAGGCAATATGATCGGGGGTTTCAACTTCAAACAACAAGTCTTGTTATGTTGCTTGAGTGGAAGGGTTCTTATTTTGCCTTTTTGATTGTATTATAATCCCGCTAGTGCTGTTCATCACATTTGAACCTTTGTGTAGTTAATTTGTTCAAGTTGTCCCACTCAACATGGAAAACCTTGTTGTCTTCACAAGTAGCAATTTGAGGAGTAAACATCATTGAAGATGTCACATTATTCGCAGTGACCCAATCTATGAAGTATATTGGTGTGCTGCCGGCTTTTCTCATTCTTGTCCACATCTGCTTCACCCAGGAACTTCACTTGGTCAGTCAGTTGGTAGATATTATTATGATGCCCTGGCTCTAGGAAGTCAAGGAAGTGGTGTTGAATCATTGAACATTCCCTGAACTACAATACATAAGTACAATGCAACATCCTTGCACTTATCTTTGGAACCAAATCTATACACATAAGTCACTGCTTCCGCAACAGAGCAATCTGATTAAAATCTGATGTAGTGTACGGGCTTTAATTATTTTAGCTATAAACTTATTTTAATTTTATTTTTTATTACTTTTGTTATTAATGCCCTTTTATTTTATTATTTTACTTTGATTTTTTTTAATTCCTCCCTACCTACATCTGATCCGACGCCTATGCAAGTCCCGTTCAAATCTCGCGTAAGTAACAGCCAATCACAGCCCCCCTTTTATACAGGCTGTCGGTTGCTTACTTTTCAGTGTATACGGACAATCTTTCTGTACATTATATTTTGCCCACTTGAATAAACCATTAATAGAAAATTGCTAGTATATTTTTATTTTCAAAAGAAATTCCACAGCATTTAACAATTTTTGTCATTACATTGAATATTTTTTTCACTTCCAACAAATGTGTACACTTCCAGAT